CTACCTCACTGTCCACCAAAACAGTAATTGGGTTACCTGAGCAATACAGTTTTGATATTTATGACATGGAGTTTCCATGACATCAACTAATGGCTTATGTTCCTCTGATTGCAAGGAAGGTCTACAAATGCCAAAAGAAGGTAACGCAACGTATTTTCATTTTGGTCAGGCATATTTCTTCACCAGTTAGAAGATGTAGGAGAGATTCTTTGTGTATTCCCCCCCCCTTTTCCCCCTATAGTTCTTATTTACCTTTTTTAAAACAGTAAGGAATTAATACAGAGTAAGCTCAAGGCCATGCCACAATTAATTCCTGATTATCATAAATTTCAAATGTGAATTTCTTCTCTGAACATCAGCCATAAACAAGAAAAAGGTATGTATCTGGTGGAGAAAACCAAGCTTTACATAGGGATGGATGACACACAATATCAGTGATCACCAAGCAAATTCTGCCATAAAACATCCTGGAAAAGAATCTGGTTGGCTTATTCTTTCCTGCAAAGTGTTATTGTTTGTCTCATTTGTGGCATGAATATATGACAAAAAAGACAAAAAGGAGTGTTTCTCTTAGCAGAATTATTTTTGACAGTTACCTCTAGGATTTATTAAGGAAGTGAACAATAAATATATACAGGATTGCATTTTTAATGTATGTAATGTTATGTAGAGCAGTGCACATGTTTCTCATGTTTTTATTTTGAATTTAAATCTTTTAAAGTCCTTTGCATTTTCTTAGATGCATACATTTCAAAATCTTAAATAATCTGAATATGCTTTGGTGAATTTATTAAGAAAAGGGGACAGAATTATGCCAGTCTGAGATTGTAAAGGACAACTTAATTAAGGAATTAGCAGTCCAGCACAGAATAGTGAATCGTGCATAAGAATAACAAGTATGTTCACAACTGAGAACCAAAGATCGTTGTAAATATTAAAAATGAAGCATTCAGCTGACATTTTAAACTAATTAATCAAAATTAAAACTGTAAATTGTTGGACAAACTTTTCTATGGCAAACATAACAAAGGTGTCTATTGATATATGGTGACTCACAAATAACACAATAAATTAAAAAATGAGCAGTCAAAAGTAAAAGCCTGTGAATTTATGATCTACCTACTCATGAAGATAAGCTTTGATTTCAGTGTCTGGGAGTGGAGCTTCCTTAGGTTTCTAGCCAGGTACAGCTTTTCAGGTCAAAGTGTGAGCCTGGAAATTAATTAGAAGCTTATAAAAATGAAGAAAAATAGTATCATGTATTCATGTTTGTTCTATATAAGATCTGCTGGATTCCTGGATTGCCTTCAAAAGCAGCCCCACAGCTCATTATGATGGGATCTGTAATCCATTTAATTAGAAGACTACACTGAAATAATTCATATGGGTGGTTCCCAAATATTGTTTCCTGGAAATCATCAAAACCTAAGAAGCAAAATTGCACTTAAGCAGGAAAGGAGCTTGAAACATGTTTGGAGCATAATGAATTACAACACTTTCTGAGCGATCTTCACAAACCCTTCCTGACAAAAAATATCTCGATAGCACACATCTATGTTTAATTCATAAGCAGTCCATCTGGTAAATTTAGTTCTATATAACAACTCATCAAAATATTATTTAAAATAAATCTGATTCCTAATTTTACAAAACTCTTTTTAGGAATTTACAATCACATGGTTGGATCATAAGATGAGAAATCAAAAATTTTGTTTTTATTTTTAAAGGCAAAGGCTAGTAAAAAGAAATTTTTTCTGCAATTAAAATTTCTGGTGCTTGCAAATCAAATATTCCAGCTGTGCTGTGTTTGCATTTTTACTGTCACAACATTTCAGTTTTTATTCTGGCTTCAGTGAATGAACAAATCACTTCTGGTATATTTCATAGGAATAAAAATAATTGCATCTGACTGATAATTTTCTAACATAGTGCATCAAAAATTTAGTTTGAAAACAATGAATAGTAAACTACACATTTTGTAATTTAAAAATTTCACTCTAAAACGATAAATATCAGTACATTTTTATTAAGTTGCACCATTCTCAATGGACCTTATTCCTTTGTAAGTATATTTAGGATTGCATCATAATCAGCTTTGCTGATATTTGTTGTTACATTACAAACAGTTTATGAAAAGCAAATATTCTTAAAACTAAATTCAACAAAATTATTTCTTGCATTAAAAAGAAAATTTGATAAAACATATTTGATCCCTAACTAGTGTTAGGACTAGGCTTCAACATTTATCAGATCAACAACCTTCTGATTGAACTCCACCTAATGAAGTTAAATACTTAAATATAAGTGTTTAAAAATAGTTGGATCCAGAATTCAACAACAGATCTATTCTATGGAGTTAACATTGAATCCAACAATTTATGGTACATCCATCACCATCTTAAAGAAATCTTCCCTCTTTGCATTGATTGACATATGTGGGAGTTTTGAGATCTCTTGAGATCTCTTTAAAAACTTATGCAGATTGTTAATTAGAAAATAGTTTTCACTCCCTTCACGATGAATTTATTCACAAATACAGATAGATTAATTAGCTGTTTTAGTTAATCAACTGAAAAATCTTATGGGTCCTTTAATTGGAGATATTCCTAATTTTTTAATTAGGAACAAGATTACGAATCCCTCACTCCGGAAAGTGATATAGAAGCAGTTTCGTAACGCTACTTAAAGTTGTGTTGTAACTGTTTAAGGTTCCTGACCATTAACCTGGGTAAATTCTTCTTTGAAGAGTAAATGTTTTATTCTAAAAAGAATAAATATGTAAAGATCAAGACTCTGTCCTTTTAATTGTACCGGTTTAAAACAGGTTTTAGCGACATGGTTTTATTCCTTGTCCGTTCAAGTGTTAATAAAAAACTTAACATTCTTTCAATGTCTTACGTTGCAAGATTTAAGTTACTTAAGAGAATTCTACTAGAAAACTGGGGCGTACATCTGAGTAAACCGGTTTAGGCTTGAACTGGGCTTTTTTCAGCCCGAGCAAAGTTTAAGATCTTTAAAGATTTTAATGCTTTTAAAGGTAAGCTTAATGAAACGGACTTCCTCGGCGCTAACTCTTAATCTCCTACGTCTGTGCCGCTGTTTTGAAAAAAGACCCGCCATACATTTCATTGGAAGTCGTCGCTTTTTCAACCACGTAGCCCGCTCGCTTGCTAGAACTTTCAGAACCTCGACTTTTTAGTTTGAGAAGACGCAGCCCCACACAAAAGGCAGCGGTACCCAGAGGGTTAATGTTTCCTGTTTGCTTTTTTGAGCTCTCCTCTTCCCCTCCTCCTCTTTCCCTCTAACCACCCCCTCAGAGCTCAGGCGGAAGTGAATTCGCTCCTTTGGAGATTAAAAGGATTCCGAATTCTCGATCGGTTTCAATAACAGGCGCTCCAAAAGAGGTGGACCAGGAATGCGAGCATCTCGGCGCCCTGCAAAAATCAGGCGCACCTAAATCGGGTCGAGGGGGGAGGGGAAAAGGTTTTTTTTTTTTAAAGAGGTGCAAAACCCAGAGCAACGTAGGGGAGCGAAACCACCCATTCACCAGCACGATGGCGACAGCGGAATCGAATGGGATCTCCACGTTCTTGCATTACTGTTGTTAATTTAAACCTTCGGCCGGCGGGCGTTCCCCGACTCTCTCCCCCTTTCTCGATAACCATGTCGGGGATTTTTTTTAATCTTCGGAGGGTAAAATAAGAGATTCCTAGAAGACCACGCGAAGAGTTGAAATGACAAAGGAAATGTGATCGCAGTGGTTAGGGAGCAAGGAGCAAAAGGAGGTGCCACCGGATTGCAGCCTGGGGAAAGTGTTACACCGCTGTTGCAATTTGTGCCAGCGAACCTAATACGCCCCCCCCCCATGAATAATTCAGGAAGGCCGGCCGGAACCTGCCGCCGCCGTCCTTCTCTCCGGCGGCTCCTTTTGCCGGTTTAAACGCGTGTGCGCCCAAGCTACAGGAAGGAGTGAGACCGCGTGCGTGTCGCTGCCGCCCTTGCTTTAGGGGCGGCAGCAGCAAAGGGGAGCAAATTCGGGAAATCCCGAGAAAGAATAAGGGACCTGATCGATGCGCTCACTCGGCTTCCCGGGGGATCCGCTTGGAGACCTGGGAAAGGCGTGGACCCGCGAGGAAGACGATCTCTGGAGCGGAAGATCGCGCGCTCGTTCATTCATTCACACGCATCACCCACCCACACGCTCCCTTTTTCTTTCGGACGCCCGCCTGCCCAGAAAACTGCGCCGGAGGGATCGCCATCTCTGCTTCCCGCTTTCAAGACATGCGGTGGTGGAGCCCTCAGGGGCGGATCGGTGCCGGAGGAGTCTACCGGGACAACTTCCGTGTCTCCCGAAGCTTCCCGAAGTCCCCAAGAAAGGAGAAGTAAACCAAGCGGTCCCGCTGTTCCCTCTCGCCTCTCTTCTTCTCCACCGACCGAGCTCTTTCCTCATTCCCTCGCCATCAACCCGCCTCTTCTGATACACCAACTAAAGAAATTTCAACCCCCCTCCTTCAGTTTTTCCCCTAGAAGGAAGCAAAGAACAGCCGCACGACCGGATCCAGTTCGCGCTGGATTTTTAAGGAGTAGGGCCCGATGCACTTTTCTGTTCAGGAAACCCTCATTCTTCCGCCTCGCCGTCTGATAAACGCTGAGCCGGCGGAGAAAGAAGAAGGCGCTGTCCCGGGTGGGAAGAAGCTTTAAACGCAACGTGAGGGAGGGGGCAACTCAGAGGAGCGCGTTCCTCCTGAAACTACTTAAGGAAGGAAAACGAGAGGAACGCCAGCTGAAGCTGCTCCCGTCTCGCCTAGCCCGCGAATAGTGGTTTGGAGTAGCAGAAATCATCGCAGCGCCCCCACAGCGACTAATTGATGCCACCCACCAGGGCTTGCAACGCGGGTCGTCGTCGCTCGCTTCGGTTCATGCTGCTACTGCTGTCGCCTCCTTACTAGCCGCGCTCGCTGCGCTGCCCCCTCCCCCTCCTCCCTTCCCCACCCCTCCCAATGGCTTCGTTCCCCGAGTCGGATTTCCAGATTTGTCCGCTGTGTAAGGAGATGTGCGGCTCGCCGGCTCCAGTCTCCTCTAATTCGTCCACTTCGTCGTCCTCTTCTCAGACTTCAAACTCTTCCGGAGGCGGCGGCGGGGGGTCTTCATCCTGCACCCCGTCGAGGCGGCTCCACGTCTTGCCCTGCCTGCACGCTTTCTGCCGCCAGTGCCTGGAAGCACAGCGCCACCCAACCGCGGGTGACTCTCTCAAGCTGCGCTGCCCCATCTGTGACCAGAAGGTGGTGATCTCGGAGCCGTCGGGTATGGACGCGCTGCCCTCCTCCAACTTTCTTCTCAGCAACCTGCTCGACGTGGTCGTCGTGGCCGCCGCCGCCGAAGACCAGAAGAACAACGGCCGTCCGGGCGGCGGCAGCGGCCAAGGAGGAGGCAGCGGCGGCGGAGCGGCGAGTAACAGCAATGCCAACAACCGACACCCTCATCCCCGCCAACAGCCTGCCCAGCAGCAACAGCAGCACCGCGCCCCTGCGGGCGGCTCCTCCCCGGGCTCTGCCGCCGCCTCGGCGCCGTCCGGGGGAGGCGGGGGCTCCGCGTTGCTGCTTAGGCGGCCCCACAGCCGACAGGGCGAGCCCCGCTGCAGCTCGTGCGACGAAGGCAACACCGCCAGCTCCCGCTGCCTCGACTGTCAGGAGCACCTGTGCGACAACTGCGTGCGCGCCCACCAGCGCGTTCGCCTCACGAAGGACCACTTTATCGAGCGCTTTGGCCCAGGGCCGCCCGCCTCGGCGGGAACCGGCCCCGCCTCGGCAGCCTCCCAGCTTGCTCTCAGCCCGCCCTATTCCGCCGCGCCTTACAACATTCTCTCCGTCTTCCCGGACCGAGTCAACTATTGCCAGCACCACGACGACGAGGTGAGTCTTCCCAACAACCCCCTCCTCGCAGCATAACCGGACATGTTAAATGGCTGGTCCTCAAAGAGTTCCAGCTCGTCACCTTGCGCTCCAGAAACGTTGGGAGTTAAAAGAGGTAGTCTTTTCCTTCTTCCCTTTACGTTTTGGGGAGGGGCAGTGTCAGAGGCCAGAAAGCAGAAAGGATGCCAACAGGTGGGGGGAGCAGGGAGAACCCTGTGAGTCCTGTCTTCAAGTCCATCCTAAATGGCCAGAAAGTGGTTGGTTTTACCTGGGAAGGGGAGAGCATCCCAGGTGAATCTTTTTGCTTTCTTCTCTGTGAAAACCACCAGCTCCTATAGGTTTGCAAAGTAATTTTTGGTCGTGGCAGTACCTGATGAAAAAATAGTTTTGTCAAATAGACAAAAACATTTTGTAGTAAGGGGTGACTCTTAGACTTTTGAGACTGAGTCCAATGGTGATAATCTGGATTAAGAGACAGCTAAATAAAAATGGGCATCGGTACACTAGGATTTCAAGGTTGATACAGTAGGATTTCATTCACATATAAGTTGATAGTTTTTTACTGTATTAGTCTCAAAATATTGGATTATAGTGTCCTATACATATTGGAAGTTGTTCAAAGTTGCTAAACTCAGAACTTCTTGTTTGTGGGGGTGGGATTTGGTACTGTATAGAATTTGGATAGTTGATAACTGAGCAAGATGCTTTTGCAGTTCTTTCATCTTGTATTTTGTGGCTATGTAGTATAAATTTCTTACCTAAGAACCCTGTTGTACTTCCTCTGATAGGCAGGTATGATTTTTTACCCCCCCCCCAGACTTTCATCCACATTAACAGGAATTACCTCTCAGGTTTCAGTTTCCTTTTTTAATCTTTTTTTTTAATAGTTCCCCCTTTCATTCTTTTCCTTTGCTCAGGTGGTCCACTCTTTGCATCTTCCAGCCTTCTTCTCTTTTCTTCCATGCCTTTGTTCACATGGAGCTGTCCAAGCTTAACTGGTGTAAATCATAATTCTTTACAAGCAGCAGAGCTTTCCCATGTGTGCTGCAGGGGGCAGAGATAGTTGGAGCCAGTTAAAAACAGCACCAACTATGTGTATTGTTGGGGGGAGGGACTTGATGCTGTTTCCTCTTGAAGTGCTTTGGAGAATAAGTACATATATTGTTTCTTCAGGAATGCCAAGACGGAAAACTTAAATGTGAGAAGTGGCAATCCTAATTCCTGGGCCATCATTCTGTTTTTTGCTGCACGTTCCTCTGCCAATTTGTGCCCATTCCCAGGACTAAGATGCTCTTGAAATGGATAAAGTGCTCAGTAAGGATTTCCTGGTCTCTCTCTCTCCTCCCTTTAGTTTACATTTTTAAGTAAACAGACCAGTATATTTGCCACTCTGCTTGATTTAGCTGCTAATTACAGATCAGTTCCAGACTGCTACAAATGAAGAAGCAAGGCATTGAGAAGCTTTTAACATATAGGATTTGGGTTAAACATAATCCAAAATTGGATTATGAATGAAGGATCTAGAAGTGTGACTTTTAAATCAGCTGTGGAAGTTGATGATGCTTCTGAGCATGTGTGAAGTATTGCTTGAATTACTTCCCATTCCGGAGGATTAGGGGCAGACTATGTAGTTTTAGTTCTTGCTTGTAGTATACAAAACCTTTTTTAATTTGTTGTATAGGATTTAGTGCTATGTTGAAAGTTTCTAAACTGATGGAGAACATCTTGCACACAAGATATTTTCTTACAATACTTGTATTTCTTAAAAATTGGACAAGAACCATGTATAAATATTTGAAAAACTATTCTAACATGTTTTTTTCTATTTTCAAGAGATAGGATCAATAAAGAATAGCAGAAGCAAAATGAAAAACTTAGCAAAAAAGTGAATTGAGAATCAATGTACTGATTATAATTCTCTCAATAATTATGCTTTGAGATTACATGTGTTTAGTGAAGTTGAATGATCTGATGGCATTAATATATTGAATGGGCTCATATAAAAATATATTAATAAAAGTTTTAACATCAGAGTGTCGAGTAGGTCCAAGCATTTATTTCCTGAGAGTACTACTCTTTAAAAAAATTAGTTGTTTATAGATTTTAAGAAATAGTTATTCTAACGGAGAATCATTGCTTTAATCCCAAGGAATAAATACCTTGTACTGAATTAATGTACTGGAAGTTCAATTTGTAAGCCGACATTCCATCTCTTTTGCTGGTTGCATAGACCACAGTGGAATTTTCCACTAGCCTCATGGTTAGAGGATAGCTTACTCCATGCTACAGTTCCTGATTGATCCTTACTACTGAAATATAACCAGGTTTGGGAAATGATTGCTATTAGATACTCCCTAGCTTGGGAGGAAAAAATACTCTGTGATTTTTGAAAATGAATGGCTGTTTACATCTAATTGACTTTTGCCTGTTTTTGTGTAGTTATTTCAAAAATGGAAGAATATGTCTATTTTTGTCTTCTTTTTTTAGAAAGGAATTTTTATTAGCATTTTTGCAAGAGTTTGAGGAAATGCAAATATCTCTTTATTAGCACTTGGCTATCTCCCACTGAGTTTTCTAGCATTTTCCACAAACAAACAGGAATATTTATCAATCTGAAGGAAAGTTGGAACTCCAAATACAAGATTTAGAATGATAAAAGTAAATTGTGTATTGTTTATAGTGACATGAATATTAAGTGCATGAATATTTCTATTATCCTGTAGGAGTTACATAAAAAAAACATCTTCCAACCATCTCTTCCTCATTCTGTTTTCACTATACTCACTGGATTCATTTTATAGGAATTCTTTAGGGGAAATACTTTGTTCTTATGGTTGTATTAAGTATAAGTATCTTGGACAAAGTATTGTAATTCAGTTTTATCATAATGCTTGCACTTCAAATAATGTGATGTGTGGGCATAACTGAAAAGCATAAATGTGTACTCTGCAGTGCTTGTTAAATTCTTCCCACATTTAAAAATATTATTTCAACACTTCACATAACATGTGTTTTTTTAAAAATCATATTATGATAGTGCAAAATACATGTATTTTGTTTATGATAGTTCTTTTGGAACAAATAGTCCATCAGTAACTTCTTAGTACAACTTCACTTAATACAATACTACTTGCTTGTTATGCTTGATTATTTAGGAATAACTAAATAGAAATAAATAGCAAATAGAATGGGGACCATTTCTGATAAAACAACAACAACCTAATTGTGTGTTAAAGTCTTGACTTGTGTTTGTTGTGAAAAAAAATTGTATCTGTGTAAAGGGAACAAAAACCTGACACAATTGTTCACTTAATGCAGGATTTTTATGGGAGAAAGAGATTCCAAAGATATTTTGCACTATTTTTGCTTGCACAGGGCTAGCATACTACAGCCTCCTGGATTCCCTAAAAAGCTGCTATTGAGGATTAAGAAACCTTCTGAAATGGTGTGCTATAAAGAGCATAAAGAGTTGTAATTGGAAGTATTGAAGAAGGCAGCCCATCTGACTTTCAGCCAATGTGGAATTTCAACTACAGACTTACTTCTGACTTATCTCTGACTCAGAGATTCCATGAAAGCAGACCTGGTTATGACTTATGTTGGCAGACCTCTCAAGAGTGCTACATGATCTCAGTACTTCTTTCCATCATTGATTACTAGCAGTTTTTCAGAATACCTGTTATGACATCGGCAGACTTGCTGTGTATGATTCTGTTTTAAAAAAGTCATTATGATGGCCTTTATTTCTACAGAATCATTCAAAATGCAAGCTAAAATAGAAATATTTACTGCTTTACTAAAAGCAATAGGAAAAAAAAGATCACATAAATCTATCTAAACAATGTCTTGCAAAGAAAGGACTGGGTTTTTTGTTTTTGTTTTCTAATATTTTTGGAGCAGTGCTTTCCAACTGAATGCCTGAATGGGTTGGGGGGGATTGTAGCTCCCAGAATTCTGAAAGAGCATTTGGAGAATCCCAGTTGAAAAAAACTGCTCTTTTGTATGTAGTTGACATTTTGGAGATTTTCTGAAGCATTGTACGCTTGTATATTCTAGAACATTACAATTACCGTATTTGTTTGTTTACTTAGAAGTAAATCCTATTCTCAGTGAAATTTCCTTCTGAATAAGTCTATTCAGAACTTTAATTTTGGGATTTTTTTTAACTTGTTCATCTAAATACCACAAACTCAAAACTATTTTATAGAAATTAGAAGCAATTTCTATGTCTTTTATAATTTTGGTAGTCATTGTTATCTTTCTTAAAGAGTGCATATTGGTATTCATATTTTCCTATTTGTTGATCTCTCATATTTTTGTCCTCTGCAACTCTGCTATTCTGGGGGGTTTAGTCTAGTGGGCCTTTTCTTTGGGAACCTGATAGTGTACTTATTGCTCCTGTTTTTGTGTTTCCTAGATGGATATATTAAAGAATTATCCTTGAACAGGAGAGATACTTTTCAAACAAGATGCAAACATGTTTATCTAAACTTAATTGGCTGGATTAAGAAGTTAAAACAGGAGCATAAAAAATGAAGACCAAGGGATTGGAATACCACTTGTTTATAAATGTTCTTATAGGATATTTTAGTTTTTTCTGAGATGTGCTCTGATTACTTTGTTTTCAGAAATTGTTTTTCCTGGCCTGACTGAGTTTCAGACTATATGAAATAGTGTTTCCAGCTAACATCAGGGATCTGAGGTTCTGATAAGATTCCTGTTTTAAATGGGATGGGATAATATTTCTTCCCTGGCTTATTCATTGTTTGGGTATTGTACTTTGTGTGTGCTGCATGAAGTAGTTATTAGTTTTCTAATTTAGAATATAGGTATAGATTCTCCTGCTTGAGCAGGGGGCTTGACTAGAAGACCTCCAAAGTCCCTTCCAGCTCTATTCTCTATTCTATTCTATTCTATTCTATTCTATTCTATTCTATTCTATTCTATTCAAAATAATATTCAATGGATACCTATAAAAAAAGAGAGAGAAAAAAAGAGAG